TGTAAAAGACAGCCACCGCAAGGTCCCCAGCAGGCTGCTTGAGGTCCTCAGGAAGCGAGGGACCACATGTAATCAGCATAAGAAGTTAAAGCTAGATGCTGCGGGATTCACATGCCTTTTCTTTTTTGTTAAATATCCTCCTGAAATTCTTGGAAGACTCAAAATCTTCGGCATGATCCCCTCATACACATCAATGCTTCTGCAGTGTGTGAAGCTGTACAGACATTGAGGGCCTATTCACATCTATACATCTTTTTGTGTGTTGCATTAAAAGAAAACTTTGGGGGAAGTATTTTTCCCCCATAGTTCTCTTAAGGGTCACAGGAGGACATATACTAGTGTCCTCCCGTGACCCAAAGCTCAGTATATCGCGAGCTACAGCTACAGTATATGGAGACCGCCTCAGCCGAGACGGATCCCGACATTACTGTCGAGATCCACCCAGCTGCGTGATTGACAGCTGGCTCTGCCTATCTAGAGGCAGAGCCAGCTGTGCCCGCCCCCTCCCCGTCTGTTCCTCCAGTCAGCGCTGGTGGATCGGAGCGGGGAGGGGGGGAATCCCTGCAGGGAGTCTGCAGGGAGATGATAGAGAAGTGAGCGAGCAACGGTATGTGTTCGCTCCCTTACCGATCTATTGAGACGACGTGTGACAGTTTCATTGTCACACATCGGCTCATACTATAAGGATGAGTGATTTTCACTCACCTCATAGTTCTCCTTTAAAGTCCAACTGCAGAGGAATGACCCTTAAAGTGGAAGTAAAGATTTTTTTAAAAATCAATTTGGCAAGCTTTCTATGGCAGAAGAGACAGCATAAATCTCTTCTGCCAAAAAAGCTTTTTGATGCTTGTCAGTACCTTTTTTTGCTGTACACTGTGCCACGCAGAAACAAGGCTAAGCAGCTCAACTCTGCATGAAAACATAGGAACTGGGGTGCAGAAAATGGCAGCAGGTGCTCTGGACTGATGAGTCAAAATTTGAAATAGTTGGCTGTAGCAGGAGGCAGTTTGTTCGCTGGGGCTGGTTTGGAAAAACAAGGAGTCCTGGAAGTGATGGTTAGGCCCCACACAGTACCAGGGCCGGATTTACTCTCCCTGCCGCCCCAAGGCCGAGTTCCACAATACGCCCCCCCGTGCCGCCATCAATTACCCCTCTGCGCTCTGCCACCCCGAGGCCGGGCCTCGGTGGCCTTGTGGGAAATCTGGGCCTGGCTGCACAACCACAACAAGGCCCCTCTGTATAGTGCGGTCCTAACTCTCTAATCTATGAGAGCCTCCATCTTGGAGCATATTTATAGTAAAGAATGGATTTGGTGCAGGTTCGCCAGGAGGCAGCCCAACCTCCTTAAAGGCATAAAGACACGCCTCCTGGTCTTGTATCCACCCCCTGTATTTTTCTTCAAGCAGCCTGTAGTGGGAGGGACCTGTTGATTTGCTCCAACAGCTCTGCTTTCTGCACAGGTTATATGCAGCACAGTGATGTCACTGCTGGTTTTACAAGGCAATACATTACTGGGTTTGCAAAGGCATTTGGTGCTCACAAAGTGGATTTCTATAAGTCACAAATCCAATCATGATCTTTTTTTTCCTCTCTAAAGTTGTAATGTAAAGGTAATTTTTTTTCTATATTGGATAGAGACAGGAAGGGTTAAACCCTCTGTTAGGTTTATATTGCTCTCTGTGTCTCCACTGGGGAGAGTCACCCCTCTGTTTTTCCTGGTGACTAGTTGCCTGAATCTGGGCTTACCCTAAATCTCAAGTGTATAATATTATTCTTGTGAGAATGCCATTAAGAAAGATTAATTTACAATAATAAGAAAGTCAGCTTGCAAGACTTAGCATCCCTTTGCTAATTCTGTAAAAAAATAAATCACAGCAACTGGACTTGATGTATTTTTCCTTAAAGGCATTTTGCTTTCTCATTTCAGAGAATTGAGAAAGCTATTCGGATGACCTGCAAACCATCTTTAAAGATTAATTTTTTACAGAATTACCAAAGGGTTGCTTAGTTGCTTTATTTATTTATTACAAATTTACCATGACCTGGATGTATGAGAACCTTAACAGATCTTTGCTAATTTACTCCATCAGTTAAATGTGATCTCAAGAAGTAAGCTTGCAGAAGCTGAATTGCATTGGCCCAGATATAAGTCCGATAGTTAAAACTTGCAGCCCGACAAACTCCATCTGATTAGGAAGATTTGTCAAAGAAACTATACCGAACTGACTATAGATGATGTCAGATGGGCACTTTTAGCACCCCGTCCAACAGTTAGGCAGTGTCAGTTATCTCATGTCTCGAATAAAATAAGCACGTTTTCTGTCTATGTGACAAGACCACAAAGGTTGCAATACTAAAGAGAGTTGATTAATAAATTGCATGTACCTTCATTTTCCGTAAGTAATCTGCTGGTATGAGCGTCTGACTGGGTTCCAGCAGATTATATTGTAACCAATGTTTCAGTTTAATCAGTTGATTCTGAAATCGAGGTGCACAAGTCATTATAAGTCAGACTTGAGATATGTATTTATAGGACACATACACTATATTGCCAAAAGTATTGGGACGCCGGCCTTTACATGCGTATGAACTTATTCCTTAGGGTTCAATATTGAGTTGGCCCACCCTTTGCACTTAGAAAAGATTCAACTCTTCTGGGAAGGCGTCCACAAGGTTTAGGAGTGTGTCTATGGGAATGTTTGACCATTCTTCCAGAAGCGCATTTGTGAGGTCAGGTACTGATGTCGGACAAGAAGTCCGGGCTCGCAGTCTCCGCTCTAATTCATCCCAAAGGTGTTCTATCGGGTTGAGGTCAGGACTCTGTGCAGGCCAGTCAAGTTCCTCCACCCCAAACTCGCTCATCCATGTCTTTATGGACCTTGCTTTGTGCACTGGTGCGCAGTCATGTTGGAACAGGAAGGGGCCATCCCCAAACTGTTCCCACAAAGTTGGGAGCATGAAATTTGCCAAAATGTCTTGGCATGCTCATGCCTTAAGAGTTCCCTTCACTGGAACTAAGGGGCCAAGCCCAACCCCTAAAAACAACCCCACACCATAATCCCCTCTCCACCAAACTTTACACTTGGCACAATGCAGTCAGGCAAGTACCGTTCTCCTTGCAACCGTCAAACCCAGACACGTCCATCGGATTGCCAGACAGAGAAGCGTGATTCGTCACTCAGAGAACACGTCTCCACTCCTCTAGAGTCCAGTGGCGGTGTGCTTCACACCACTGCATCTGACGCTTTGCATTGCACTTGGTGATGTAAGGCTTGGATGCAGCTGCTCAACCATGAAAATCCATTCCATGAAGCTCTCTAGGCACTGTTGTTGTGCCAATCTGAAGGCCACACGAAGTTTGGAAGTCTGTAGCTATTGACTCTGCAGACAGTTGGCGACTTCTGTGCACTGTGCGCTTCAGCGTGCGCTGACTCCGCTATTTTACGTGGCCTACCACTTCGTGGCTGAGTTGCTGTTGTTCCCAGTTGCTTCCACTTTGTTATAATACCACTAACAGTTGACCGTGGAATATTTAGAAGCAAGGAAATTTCACAGATGGACTTAATGCACAGGTGACAACCTATCACGGTACCACGCTTGAATTCACTGAGCTCCTGAGAGCGACCCATTATTTCCCAAATGTTTGTAGAAGCGGCTGCATGCATAGGTGCTTGATTTTATACACCTGTGGCCATGGAGGTGATTGGAACACCTGAATTCAATGATTTGGAGGGTGTCCCAATACGTTTGGCAATATAGTGTATATCCATTACATTTAAAATTAATTTTCGAGTATAAAGTACTTCTTTCTAGTTATGCCATATACATTCTTCACTTCCTATATGTATTGCACTCCAGCAGTGATTTCCCTTCGAAGGTTCTAGTTCTACCCCTTTCTATCTTGTAGCCTACCCCCTATGACGCCACAGATTAAAGGAGAACTATGGGGTCAGTGTTTTTTCCCATAGTTCTCCTTAGGGTAACGGGAGGACACAAACTAGCGTCCTCCCGTTACCCTAAGCTCAGTATACCGCGAGCTACAGCTTGCGGTATACTGTGACGCCGCAGCCGGAGCGGATCCCGGCGTAGATGACGGGATCCGCCCAGCTGCGTGAGTGACAGCTGGCTTTGCCTATCTATAGGCAGAGCCAGCTGTACCACCCCCGTCCGTTCTGCCAGTCAGCGCTGGCAGATCGGAGCGGGGAGAGGGGAATCCAGCCCCTCCCCCTGTCACGGCAGAGAGCCGTGACAGGATCGAGAGGTGAGCGAACCTGGTATGTGTTCGCTCACCTCCCGATCTACTGAGCCGACCTGTGACAGTCTCATTGTCACAGGTCGGCTAGAACTATGAGGTGAGTGGAAATCACTCATCTCATAGTTCTCCTTTAAGAATTTCACTTCTTCTGCTGTGTGCTCTGTAATATATAAAAGAACATCCAACAGAGAAGGTAGGATCCTCTGGTAAAGGCTAAAGCAGATTTATCATCATTGGGTTTATTGACTCTATAAGAGCTCATTCATATAGAAACTACATGTTCATGGCTGTGTTCCCTTTTGCCATGTGTTAGATATATTATTAAAACCTCTGTATTTATTCATATGGGAAAATCCATATACAGTATATGTGTCTGTGGTGCACACACAAGTTACATCTGCAGGCATTTTTGGTCTAACATTCCCCAGTTATTGCATATAAACACATGCCCATGGTTGGTAACTATTGTATACTGTGTCACCCACTATCTGATTTACTGTTACAGACAATGGTAAGAGCATTTTATACAAAACATACAAATACAAAAGTTTGTCTCAATGTGCGGTAGACCTTGTACCTTTTTAAACAGGTACAGAAATGTAAATACCTAACTATGGAGAGTATTTAGGAATGCCCTTACAACAGCAATTATGCAACCTTTGTTTCTTGCGCATCATGTTAATGAACACAAGGAATTTGGTGTTCTTTACAAGTTGTTGTGTCATCCTGGGAATATCAGACATAACAAAGCTTCCAGGAAGCAAACAATATCAGCAGGTAAGACATTTATTCTTCCTTTGTTTCTCCTTTCAAAAGGTATTTTTGTTAAACATGTCTTTCCTTCTGTCCCTTCACCTGGATCTTTAGAATTGGTTGAGGGGTTCAGGAAAATGTCTACCTTATATTGGTATTTTAGTGTTACATCAGTATAATAAGGCTTAGAGGTTTATTTAGGGTGATGTTTATGGGGTATCTTCAGGTTAGGGTTTAAGATTAGGGGTACATTAAGGTTAAGGATTAGGATTTGTTGAGGTGAGGTTAGGCTTATGTTTAAAGGGTATGTTCAGGTTAAGGGTCAGGTTTAGGAGTTTTCTTACATTTTAAGGGATTAAGGTTATGGTTAAGGGGTATTTGAAGATTAAGATTTACCATCTGAGGGGTAAGGTTAACATCACATTATTCATTTTAAATCCCAACTCCGGTCAAGATTTAGTATTTTTGATACAGTTAGAAGGGTTTTTACCATTGTTTGTGCATCCACTGGGGATATCTCCTCTCATTTTCTGATACATGGTGTGAGGGAAAATTTATTTTATACAACTCCACTATCACAAACTGAATAATTTTGCTCCAGCACACAAGCGCTACATGCTGTAATATTGCACCGGGCTCCAAATATCAATGCATCCCTGGCTAATCATTTATATCAATGTAGCGCTCACCCCCAAAGGAGCCACCAAAATGTACCGCCCAAACAGGATCCACAGCGCACCAACACACCTTAGAGAGTTTTGTAACAGCTTTACTAACCAACTGGTATACATTTGTTAAGCATTACATAAAGGAAACATAATACTTGAAGGAAACAACATTCAGTGATATACATTGGGTATTCAGACACTCAGCAGCAATGGCTATATATATATATATATATATATATACACACACACACA